TATCTATCTATCTATCTATCTATCTATCTATCTATCTATCTATCCATCTATCTATCTATCTATCTATCTATCTATCTATCTATCTATCTATCTATCTATCTATCTATCTATCTATCTATCTATCTATCTATCTATCTATCTATCTATCTATCTATCTATCTATCTATCTATCTATCCATCCATCCATCCATCTATCCATCGATCCATCTATCTATCCATATATCCATCTACCTATCTATCTATCTATCTATCTATCTATCCATCCATCCATCTATCTATCTTTCTATCTATCCATCTATTTATCCATCAACATTTTGTCCTTTGGAAGTTTGCATGAAATAATAAAGAAATAAAATTGATTTTTACACATGTGTCCTTTTGGAGATGTGTCCTCCACTATATAAAATGAACCAGGAAGTGTATATGGTGCTTTAAATGTTCATATTCCTGAACACATTCTTTCAAATAAATATCATACTCATATTTCATTTATGTTACTTGATGATTGCTTAGGCAGTTGCAAGCTTTTTGCCCTGTTGGTAATCTCTTAAGTGCTTCGATGACATTGTTAAACTAAAAGACAAAAGTCATCAGTTAGATGAGATTTTCCTCAATAGCATTTCTTACTCTTGCTATAGAGGATGTATGCAACATTTGCACCATTTTTGCATTTTAAGGTCAGTTAAGACATCGTTTTAATATGTTTTCAATAAACCCTATTTTTATCCAATTATTCGCTTTGTCCAGTATAAGCAGAAAGTTAGCTTGGATGCCACAGAGATCATTTTAGTTATTATAATGCGAGTGTGGCATATCCATGACCGCTCATCCAACACCACCCACCAGTTAGAGGCCATGAGATGTGGTTCAAAGCTCCAGAAAAAGCCCCAAAAGTTCGTTTTTCAAGCTCTAGAAGGATGTATCAAGCTTATAAAGCCTGTCCTGGTAGTCTGGACAAAGGTGCAATAATCTACGGAATAGAAACAGCCACTAAAGGCCAGTGTGGTAATACATTAAAACTAAGGGTGGTAAATGTCCGGTTCCTAATGTGGAGAAAGTTCAAACGAACCTGAACCTTAGTGTGTGTGTGTGTTTGTGTGTGTCTGTGTGTGTGTGTAAGCGGGGATGCACATTTTTGACAAAGATCTGAGATGCTGCGTTCAAAGCCATGCAGAGAATTTTTTAGGAAAAAAGGGGGGAGGCGACGCAGAGGAAAACACCGGCTCGATTGAGGTCATGTTAAAAAGGTTTATTTCAACAACTGTCTGAATCTCGTTTGTTTATTCTCTGTTCGAAGTCCCAAAAAAGTACAAAAAAAAACAAAAAAACAAGTACATCAAAGGATTAGAAATCACATCAATGAAAACCAAGACACATTGTGTTGCTTCTTTTTTTTAAATCAATCCAAGCATTTTTTTTTCTTCCAATATTTATACATACTCACTGGATTAGTCAGACAAACATCAAAACCTTTCAGTAGCTTTAACTTTTTTTTTTTGTACAATGACGTTTTACGTACGTTTTAAACTTCTGTATGATTTCTTTCTTTTTACAAAATACACCAATGCAGGCAGGGGAAGGTGTGTGTGTGCGTGTGTGTGTGTGTGTGTGTGTGTGTGTGTGTGTGTGTGTGTGTGTGTGTGTGTGTGTGTGTGTGTGTGTGTGTGTGTGTGTGTGTGTGTGTGTGTGCAGATGGCCGGTTTCGTGTCTCCTCTGTCTTCAATTCAGTCAGTCTGCATGGGAGAGCAGCTTTTCACTTGAGTTTGAATTGAGTCAGGGGATTAAAGCAGACACTACTTGTTTGGAGTCATGCATCCATCCCAACACCAGAACCACTGTCAGTCCCTTTCAAAAATGTCTGTCTTTCTACATTAAATGCTTTTTGCTTGGAACTTTTTTAGTACCATCTAATCTCAAAGTGAAAAGCTGCTTTTAAAACCCTGCAGTCTGATTGGTCACAGAGAATCAAAACCCCATGTTTAGCTTACTTTCACTTTATGCAACGCTAATTTAGACGCATCTTAAACCGTTGAATTTGACTTTGAACACAACCAGTTAGAACTGGGCGATATGAAGAAAAGAAAATATCACAATATTTCTGATCAAATACCTCAACATTGATATAGCATGATGGATTATTGGTGCTTTTGTGCTATCATTAGGATAAATTGGAGGAGGCAACTAATAGAACAGCTTGAAAATATACGGTACACAAATCTGATAATAACATCACATTGCTATCATTCATCCTTTTAAACCATTCAAAAGGCAACATGACTTTAAGATATCTATTAAAAACTAACTAACTACCAGTATTTTCTACTGAAGCTCAACATTTCCAAACAAGAAAACCTTTCCTCCATGTCAAGAAGATACACAAAGACAGGACACCTACCAGCAGGTGAGGATGCTGGCTGAGGTGAAGAGGATGATGGGAACTGGGTAGGAGGCGCAGAGCAGCCCGTGGCGGTAGAAAGCCGCCGAGATCTTCTCTCTCAGCCGCTCGCGCAGCGTCATCCTGGGGGACGGGGTCAACTGCCGGCCATCAGGACGCACGGCGCGGTCGAGGAGGGAGCGCCGCGGGGCATCCAGGGACCTGAGGGGAGAGTTTCACAGGTTATAGACAACAGATTATGTAAAACAATGTAAAAACTCACACTGGTTGGTTTGTTTTTCACATGTAAAAGTTGCTGCAATGTATAGGAGTGACAGTTTTGTTTTCCGCAAGCCCACATTCAACCATAAACAATACGGTAGGGCTAGCCTGTACCCGAATATCCGAATATTCGTTCGTTGGAGTACTATTCGGGTTTCAATTTCGTTATTCGGATATTCGCTTTGTTTTTTTTTTCAAATTGAATTTATTGAAATCTCCAATATCAACGTATGAGCTTGTGCCTCTTCGGGGGGTGCTAACACTTAACCATAAACGTTATCGTTTACTTTCTCCGTCTTTATATGTAGATATTACTTTTCTCCGTTAATCTCCATCAAGTTGTTTCCAAAGCAACAACAACTTCCTGTCAACAGCGCTACCTCTCCTTCAAAATAAAAGCATGTCCACTTAAGACATATACAACTGAAAGTAACACAATGCGATATCCTTTTCAATTTCAAAGAACACAAATGGGTTACATTAACAAATAACTATAAAACAATAATACTGTAGAATAACAAAATGAATGCCGTGGATACACCGAAATATACGTGATGAAGTGGTTCGTGCAGGCCGAATATTCGCTGATTACTACCGAATATACGGAGGCTAAATAAAGTTCTGATTGGTCAATTCAGAACATGTGACAAGTTTTTAGAACAGACCGCTGTCAAGGACTGTAATGACCGTTGCTAAGGACGATTAAGAAAGGAGGTTCAAATAAAATAAAAAATTGTAATAATGAAATGTTTCCACACAAATCATAATGTTTTGCTAATTATTTGGCGGCCCACTTGCATGCCTTCGGCTCACAGGTTGGAAACCGCTGAACTACAGTATTTCACTATATTTATAGCAATTATTTAAAACGTTTTTTTTTTTACCCAAGAGCAGCTTTGGAATAGTGTAAGCTCTATATGAGGGAACATATCTGGTTGAAACATGTATTTAAACTCTTATGAAAGAATCTTTTGGGGTGGCAGCAGTTTATGGCGCATTTCCACTGCAGGGCTTATTACGGTAGAGTTAGGCCAGGCTCACTTTAAGCTGCGTTTCCATTACAGTTTAGTAGCTGGGGCAGTAACTATAGTAACGCAGTGTAGACGCTAGACGTCATCTTCAATGCGAACCACAAAACCAACATCAGCCGTTAGCTGTTAGCCCTCAGAGCTCACAGCTCCTCATATCTGTTCAGAAACTAGACAAAAGTTAAACAAGTACAAACCACAGACTGTCTGTGTCATGGCGAATACAGTCGCTGGTTTATTTATGTCTGTAGGCCGTTGTTGTGAGTGTGGACGGTTGGAGCATATACAACGTTAGCTTAGCAGATCTCCATTCAGGAAACACACATTTTAAAAGGTTTTTCGCCTGCCGTCTGTCTGCAGACTTGTCAAAGCATTAATTCATGGTTTTTACTAACCGGTATCAGTATGTTGTTACTTCGGCATCATTTTGAAACGTGTATTACAATTAAATCACGGTCAAATATGTTCATTTTGTTGTAGTTGTAGCCCCCTTGCCAGCGGTTCTCTCTCTAGTTTAGCATACTCAGCCCGGTTGTTGGCCCGGAAAGAACCTCGATTTTGGAGAGCCAGAAAACTGTGAAAAAGTACCCGTTAGCTGGTACTACCCAAAAGGACCAAGTACGTGTGTGGACTGATAGATGGAGAGGTGTCAGATCACATCGCAATGTAATGTAAAAATAACAACAGAGTGAACATTTAATTTCCTCCTAGAAGAATAAAGTATGTCTTCTTCTTCTTTAGAAACTTTGCTGCATCATATACACTATTTAAACTTTTATAAAGTACTTTTTGGGGGACGTTACATAGTTTATCAATTAGGGTATACAATGTAAAAACAGCCATCAGAAAGTAAAAGAGTTTTAACGTCCTTTTTTGTCCAATTAACATATTCAAAAAGGAAATACAGGAACTCAGTGACACGTACATTTTGACTTGTAATCAACGGCTGGGCTGTCACATTTTCTACCAATCATTTAGGTGCACGTTTTCTGCAGCCTTGGAAGAAACACAGATTTTGATCTCTGGCTGCTTTATAGTTTTCCAAAGTGCCTCCTGAAAGCCCTGTGCTAAGATTTGATCAAAGTTATCTTATCTACTTTATTAAGGATCACATCCATTGACACATCTCCAAGGACAGAGAGAGAGAGAGAGAGAGAGAGAGAGAGAGAGAGAGAGAGAGAGAGAGACAGACAGAGAGAGACAGAGAGAGAGAGAGAGAGAGAGAGAGAGAGAGAGAGAGAGAGAGCAGCTCCTGAAGTAAAGCTCTGTCCTGGACACCTAATTAGTGACATACTCCAGGTTTTGGCACACATGCTGCTGACTAAAGGCACGGTGTGTTTTTCCTTCAGCTCACACAGGGGTCACATGGTAGACGGCACACACACGGCTCATTCAGCCCACAAGGTGTGGACACATTCCCCCCCGGTAGAAAACATGTATCACCGGCTGAGCAGCTATACTGAAGCAAACATGTCTCATCGATCACACCTGGTAAGACAACAACCACCGTGTGTTCACCTGAAACCAGCCTTCTGTTAGAGGACAGTGGGTAAGATTACACTTTCACACAGAGGGGTCAACTGGCCAAAGAGGAAGACAGTAGCTTTAAATTGGGGTCTTTTGAGTATTAAATACAACTGGTTTTTACCACGTTAAGATGATCAAAGTAGCTGTTAGTTGCTGCCATAGAAATGCATGCAATTAACCGTGTGTCACTCCCAACGATCGGTCAATATCAATCAAAAAATGCAATTATTTTTGACTGATATTGAGCAACATGGGATACGAAAAGCGATAGATGAAATGACTGTTTAAAAAAAAGTATTCACATTATCAATTACAAATATATAAAAATGGTTGGAGTGCGACTTCAAGAAGATCTGTACAAAACAAGGATTTCTTTATCTGTATACGGTATACAGTGTTTACTGTATACATTACCTTGCATGCCCTGCATAGCTATAAGAAATACTTAAGTTGTTGGTGAAGACACTTTCCATCTGATGAAGGCAAATGCCTTCCCAGATGTAAAAAAGTAGAAAACATAACATTCAGTTATAACTGCCAAAACAAACATTATTTACACTATTATGGCCCGTGTTAAAAATGTTTGTAATGTTATCTACTG